TCGGATAGAGGTTAGGGACACTACAGCTCTGATTTTTGTCCTATCCAAGTTCACAGGCCCACTCAGTTCTAGAAAGCCAAGTTAAAAAGGGCCCACTTTAGGTAAAAGGAGCAGGGAAGTCCTTGCTGGGAAGGTGACTGTGAGACCTGCAGGACCAGGCTGCTGCTGCAGGGATCTGGGGAGTTGGTCCCTTGTGTCAGAGTCTGGGCACTAGTGCTCCAGGCTGTGTGCCTAAACTGCCCATCAGCGTGGCACCCACAGAACCAAGGAGTGATGAAAGGGGCAGAGGCCTAGAGAGCCCTGGTGAGGGCCTGGTTGGTTGGACAGGGAAGAAGTCCAGGAGGGAGGTGACTTCAGAGTCAGGACAGGGAGCCTGAGGCCACCTGCTGGCATTTCCCTAGAGCGGTTTTTATAACCTTTTTTAATCTCGCTGCACACTTGAACCTATGTTAAACTTCTGGGGTATACTTAAATTCTGTTGATTTCTTTAAAAAGTTTTTAAAAATATACACTTACTGTGCTTTGAACCTCTTTCAAAAATAATTTAATTAATGATCTTTTAAAAATTTTCGAGGCATACCTAAGATCCTCTCACAGCCCACTGGTTGAAAATCACTGCCCTAGACCATTTTGAACTTTGTTTCCAGTGTAGAGTGGCCCAGTGTTAAGGGGTCCAGGTGTGTTCTTACCACCCAGGGCCCCAGGGGCAAGTACAGTTAGCTTTCCTATTCCTGCCTCAGCTGGCTGGCTCAGGAAAAGTCTTCCAGAAAGGCCCCTATGTCCCACTTGGAGCCACACCTCAGGGGCGCTTTAGCTTTAAACTCTCCCAGGCATCTCAGAAGCCCTTGAGTTTTTCAGCATGCCCCCAGCAGCCCGGCTGTTATCATTTTGTTCTAGATTGTCCTGTTCTGGAGCTAGACATTTCACTCGATCACTTGGCCACTGAGCATTCAGCTGTGCAAACAGAACTGGTCCCCACCCTGAGGTCCGTTTCCCTAGAGTGGTGCAGGGCTAATGAAACCTGCCTGCTTGCTTTAGAGAGAGAGATGGAGGGGGGGACAGCAGAGGGATGGTCTTGGGCAGTCTCCCTCTGTAGCCCTTCTGGGCCAGCCCTGGGAGTACTGTGCACCAGGCCATTAGCTCCTGCCCTCAGGGAGTTCCTGGGGCTGCAGTTGGGGTCACAGAAGCAGAGAAGGGGAAGTGAGGTCTAGTTTAAGAGACTCAATGAAGCCCCTCCCCTCACTCTCATAGAGCAGGAGGCTTTGGGTTATAATAGAGCACAAGGTGACCGGAGGAAGAACATTTCTAAAGATTATTAAAGCACTAAACATCAGGTTCCTCTTTAAAGAAAAGTCCTCACCTTACGCCATAGCAATCAGAAAACCCCCGGGCACATCAGTGAATTAATTGTGAAAAGCAGAGAAAATGCCGTTTGTAGAGACAGTGCTGTTTGTTGAAAGTAAGACTTTATCTGCTTTCTACTTGGAGAAACCTGTCTAAGCATAAGAAGAATAAAAGAACCAGAGAGAGAATTGAAAATGAAAAACAGCTCGGTGCCTGAAAGTGAAATGAGAAGGCCGCTGACCTGGGAAACTGAGCATCACAACGGCGACATGGAAAGTGTTAGCCAGCACGCTACAGAGCGATTTTTAAAAGGCACTAAATCCTTAGCAGGAAAGTGTAAAAGAAAACGAAGTGGTAATTTGTGTTGGATTCTGACGGATCATAACTGTGTCAAGTGTTTCATGCTCACTAGTAATAGAAGAACAGCAAACAACATCTAGAGAGTCTAAGAGAGCGTCCTTAGACGAGATCACAAAGGTGATGGTGGCCCCACCCTGCATTCAAAGAAGACATAACCTCTGGAGAGTCATCTCACTCCAACACAGATCAGCACCAAAAAATATGTCCCAATTCTCTGATGGGATGAAATCACTCACTACTTCTTGGAATCTATTCTAAGGAAATAAGCAGAGACGCAGACAAAGATTTTTATACCCAGAAGGTCATTTACATCTTCTTTTAAATGGTTTTTCTAAAAAAAAAAAACTATTATTTTAAAAGTTTTTTTTTCCCCTCTCAGGAATTTTGAATGGAGACTTTGGAGCCAAATGTCTCTCTAAAAATAGAACAGGGTTCTGGAAATAACAGTTGTGTCTACAAATGAAATGTCTGCAGCTCCCAAAGCAGGTCTTTTTCCAGCTCCAACTGGGCACACTAGTGAGAAATTAGCAACGACGTAAATGCTTGCGAGTAAGGAGATGGGTAAATAAAAGATGGGGCTTCCGTGAGTTGAAATATTTGCAGCCATTAAAAATGAAGTTTGTAAAGAGGTTTTAGTGACAGGGGAAAGTGCTTTGGACGTGATGTTAAATGAAAATTAAAACAGGATATGAAAACGTGTATTTTAGTACCATTGCAACCATGTAAATACACGATCAGAAGACAAAACACCCAGGCAGTAACAGTGTTTATCTCTCGCTGGTGGAACTGTGTTTTTTTCTTCTTTTTAAAGTATTTTCTGCATTCTCAAAATTCTCTACCAAGATCGCTAATTATTTTTGGAAAAGAAATATGTACCCATCCTTGCTCCCCACCCTCAAATGGTGTGAGTCTCTGAAAAGAAGAAACAGCACAAAAAAAGACCAGGAAGTAGGGAAGAAATAAGCCAGGGTGGCCAGAGCATGGGAAGAGGGAGGTGACAAAGTTGGGACCCCCCCCACCCAGGGACCTTAAATGCTGACCACAGCAGCTGGAACTTTACCTAGAGCCCCATTTCCTGCCCAGGTTCAAAAGGAAGAGACCTGCCCTTTCTAGAAAGCCAAAGATGTCCAGGGGTGGGTAAAGGTAGGGAACCAGGGTGTCATGAAAGCTCCAGGTGCCAACTTCCTGCCTTTATCTCCCATGCCCCCCAGGGAAGAGCTTCACACTGACCATCACTGTGTTCACCAACCCCACCCAAGTGGCCACCTACCACCGAGCTATCAAGGTGACTGTGGATGGACCCCGGGAACCCCGACGTAAGTGTCACTGAGCCTCCTGGGTGGGGCAGGAGGGTCTAGTGGGGGAGGGCAGCCGTGAGATCAGACAGGTGGCACTGGGTCCCTGGAGCCTTTCTGTGGGGGATTATGGTCTTTGGTTCTGTCCCCCTAAACTATGTGCCTGCTGGCAAATCCCTAAACCCTCTGGGCTTAGCCCAGACCATGGGTGGCCAAGGGGCAGGGGGACAACAGAGCCAATGAAAACTACCTGCTTGCTTTGGAGAGATGGGGGTGGGGGGACAGCAGAGGGATGCTCTTGGGCCCCTTCTGGGCCAACCCTGGGAGTACCGTGCACCATGTCATTGGCTCCTGCCCTCAGGGAGTTCCTGGGGCTGCAATTGGGGTCACAGAAGCAGAGAAGGGGAGGTGAAGTCTAGTTTGAGAGAATCAATGAAGCCTTAATTGCCTCACCATGAGCTACTGGGACCAGCTGAGGGAGTCAGGAGGGGGAAGCATCCAATGTGGTGTTGGGGGACATTTGGGGATGGAGGTTGGTTCAGAGCCCCTCCTTGGAAACTCCTTTTGAGTCTTAGCATGTGAGTTGCTAAAGTTACACAGAGCCTGGGCACTCTGACCCCAGGACCCACACAAGTGAGATCAGGACTGCAAATCTGAGCACCTGCCCCGTGCAGGAGTCCTGATCCGGTCTGGGTTTAGTTCCTTCTGCCCGCTGAATGCTCTGGAGTTTGCAGATTCAAGTTGGGGCAGGGCCCCAGGTCTGTGTTCCCAGAGTGAATGAGTGAAACAGCCTCCCACCCTCACCCAAGGCACTCTCAGCCTGGTGTATTCAGAGCTGGCCTGTCCCTTTCTTTCTTTGTAAATGTGACCCTTTGCCGTTTAGAAAATCTTTTCATGCTTCTTATTTCATGGGATCCTCGTGACAGCAGAGCCAAAGGGTTACCCGGTTCTGGTGAGAGAGTCCAGGCATGAGGAAGTTGGGTACCTCATACCATGCTGGGTTTGGGGGAGTGCTCAGGCCTTAGTCTTCTGGAGCCAGCCTTCAGTGCCTGGTCAGTTGGTCCAGGGGCAGGAGCACAATCTGCCCGTGTCTCTTCTCAAAGCCTAGGAGGCTCAGAACAGGAATGTGGCTGTATTGGGGCAATGTCAAGGAGTGCTCAGGCCTGCCCTGCGCCAGCCCCTCCCTACTTGGAAGTCAGGGGGCCTGGCTCCTATTTGTCCAAATCCTGGGCCCATTACAGAGTCTGGCCACTTGGGAAAGGCTCCGGGCTGGGTTCGGAAACCCTGAAAGTTTCCCTTCAGGGCTCTCAGGGTCACCTCTGCTGGCCTGCCACAAGCTGCTGCACACGTCCTCAGGCCTGGCAGTACCCAGCCAGCACCTGCTCTGGCCAAAGTCCTTTCTGTTCTTTCCTGCTGGGATCTGACACAGACAGGTCCCTGTTCTTGGCCATAGGCTTTGTTACCCCGAGCAAGTAATGGCTCCTGTTTGGCCTCTGTTTTGTCATCTGTGAACTGGATCGGTGACCCTAGTTATGGCTGGAGCCATAGGCCACCATGGTGCAGAGAGCAGATTTGGAGTCAGCCTATCTAGCCCTAGGTCCTTGGAAAATTCTCCATGCCTCAGTTTCTTGATCTGAAAAAATGGTATTCACATAAGTCAGCCCCCTTGTGGTGCTGTAATAAGGATTAAAAGCACTTAACAGGGAGTGGGAGGGTTAGCAGGTGGTTCATTACCTTAACCAGCATGATTATCTGCTGTGTGACCTTAGGCAAATCATAGACCTCTCTGGGCCTCAGCACCCTCCTCTGTGAAATGGATGATCCCACCTTGTAGCCTTGGAGATCAGGAGCAACAGACATATGGACAGTACTTGGCTATAGCAGATGGAGGGTCCTTATGAGTCAGTGGGTCAGTCTGTGGTGTTCTTTTATCCCTGGCACCCCTGCTCCCTGCACTCCCCCCACCCCACTAGCAGATGGTCAGCCTCTCCTGGGAGCAACAGTGTACTCCCATAGTAACAGAGATGCATGATGTCCCCCACTAAAGGGGATGACGGTCCTGCTCTGGGTCTCCAGGGACAGGAGCCACAAGTGGGCTCAGTGTGGAGATACAGTGCTTAGGAGCCTTTCCAAAAGAGGGGTGCACCTGTTGGCAGAGCCATGCAAGGTGTCTCAGAACTTGGTGGGAAGGTCCCAAGGTACCAAGCGATCCTGGCATCTGTGTGCCCCTCCATGTTCAGCCCCACCCAACCCGTAGCTGCCCACCCTCCCCTGCTGGAGGCCCAGCACTGCTCTGGGAGCTCCAGATTGAATTCTTTGTCTGCTTGTCTCTCCTGGGGTCCCCCAAGTCTGAGATGGTCCCTTCCAGGGGTGAACTGGTGGGTGAGGACAGCACAAGACGAGACAGCTGAGCCCAGAGGGAGCTGAGGCAGCAAGAGGGAAAGACAGAGGCTGGGTTGGGAGACCAGCAGAGGCCGAGGCCAGGCTTGCTGTGCCACATGAGTTAAATGGCATCCTTCTCTGTGCCCTGGCAGAAGCCAGATCAACGGTTTTAAAGTGACTTGTTCAATCAAAATCTAAGCAGAGCTGATTTATAGAATAGAGCAAGGCGGGGAGGGTAAAGTTCTATTGGTCTCCCCTCCTTTGCACCCGCTTGGTACTCCTGGCTCCCCCTGCCTTGAAGTCTGGAGTCATGCTTACCCTGGGTTCAGTCTCCAGCCTGGCTTTCCCATCTGTGACCTTGCACAGATCCTTCCCCTCTCCTGGCCTCAGTGTCCCCAGCTATAAGAAAGAAGAGTTCAGCTGAATAGCTGCTGGACACTGAACAGTCCCCCATGTGCCAAGGCTGGGCAAAATCTCAATCCTCAATGATCCCAGGAGGGGACAGAGGCCAGGGAGGCAAAACGTCCTGCCCAAGGTAAACTCCACTGCAGCTACCTCCGTGTGCTCATCTGAAAAGTGGGAATAGTATTAGTGTCTGCTTTGGGCCATTGTCAGGAGGGAGTCGACAGCTGCCCAGCCTAAAGGAAGTGCCTGACAGGCCTCTTGGATTAGTGCTGGCCTTTTGAGCTCCAGGGTTTCCTCTTCCAGCTTCTTCCCTGCTTCTCAACCCCCTACCCTGTGTGAAGTCTGAGCCTTCTGTGGGATGGGGTGAGTGTCTGCGGAGCCCAGAAGCTGGCTGTGGGTTCTGTGGCCAGGTTGTTCCCCTCTGGTGCCCTGCAGAGCGTGCCCAACCTGCAGCCAGGTGGCCAGCTGGGTTTCAAGGCTGGCTTGGTGGCTTCCTGCCTGTGTGGCCTTGGTTTCTGAGGTTCTCGATGCCGGTGTCCCTCAGAGTCACTGAGGGACTGGGGGCTGGTTAAAATGCAGGTTGCTGAGTTGGGTCCAGGATTTGGACAGGAGGTCATACAGTGCCTGGCAGTCCTGGTGTGGACCACAGTTTGAGAACAGCTAATCCCCAGTTCCAGGATTAGCAGGTGCTGATACCTGAGGGGTTAGGACCTGAGTTCTTAATCCTACCTGAGGCAGAGGAGGGTGGTTCTGGCATCTTCCCCATGGGCCCTTTCCTCCCCAAAATGTATGTGGAACAATTTCAACAAATATTTTACTGGGCACCTACTGTGTCAGACTCTGTTCCACATGCCGGAGACATCACAGTGAGCCCAACCAAATGGGTTCCCACCCGTGGTGTTCACACTCCAAGGTGGGGAGAGATGGTGAATAGTTTTGTCCTTAATCTTGGTTCTCAAACCCCACCTGATCTGTGCCATTACCCCTCTGCCCTCCTTGCTCACCCAACTCTGGCCTCCCTGCCTCCTGGCTGATCTTCAAACCTGCCAGCTATACTTGTGCCCCAAGGCCTTTGCACTGCTCTTCTTCTGCCTGGAACTCTCCTGCCCTAACACTCCCAGTTCTGTGGGCCCCTTCCCATCTTCTCCCCATCCTTCTTGCTCTAAGGCTGCCCTTAGCCACCTTCTACAGTGCTGCATAGTTCACTAATTTATTTCATTTATTATTCAGTTTCCCCTTGATCATGTGCTCTCCACAAGGACAAGGTTCTTTTCTCTCTTCTCTCTTTGCTGGGTGTTGATATAGACCCAGAATACAGGCAGGGGCACTTAATAGGGTCTTGATAAATACTTGATGAATAAACTAAGCAAGCAGATAATTAGAATTCCTATGAAGAAAAACGAAGCTGGGAGAAGGGGTGGAGAGTGCAAGGGATGGGTGATGAGGAAGCGGGCCCTGAGAGGTGGCCTTTGGGTAGAGGCCTGAAGGAAGTGAGCAGACAGTTAAGAGTGGCTGCAAAGGGAAGTAGAAATGACCCCAAGCCCGCACCTGGACCTTGAAGGGTCCGGCTCTTGCCACAGTTTCTCCCTTGGCTCCAGGAAGAAGCTGGAGAGAGACAGAGTGATGCCTGGGCTGAGGAGAGGCAACTGCTCCTAGCCCCAGGCTCCCAAGACCCCCATACCCTCAGGAGTGGCCCCTGTGCTGGGGACAGGCCTTGGGGAGCCAGGGTAGTCTGCCTGGCAGGAGGGAAGGGGTTAACCACAGACCTCCCGGGTTCCCCTAATCAACCCCAGGCTGCTGGAAGCCCTACTCTCAGCCTCCCTGCCCGCTGGCCTCCTGCCAGCCTGTTCCCTGCCCAGCCACCGACCCAGCTTTCATCTGCTCACAGGGGGCCGATTCACAGCAGACCACCCTGGGCCAGCACCCGCCTGCGATTCCGCGAGGTTGTTAAGAGTCGGGTGTAAATCTCCTGACAGGCCGCAGAGCCAGCCTCAGGCCCGGCGCCCCACCCCACGGCTGGGCAGACAGTGGCTGCTGTGTCTAAGCTGTGGCCACACCAGGCGGCCAGGGAGCCTGCCCAGTGGCTTCAAACAGTAAAGAACCTGGCAATTGGGCCTACATTGTCCCCAGCAGATGACACTGTCCCATGTTCCTGCCTAATTCTGCTTCTCCTTGCATCCGGCTTCTCCCACACCTGGTTGAGGCTGGCTGTTGTGCTGACCTCTTGCCAGCCA